AGAAAAAGAACAGGAACAATAAACATGAACGAACATGACCCCCTCCCGGTGTAATTTCACCCACAGTAGCGCGATCGCGCGATCCAGGATCGCGCGATCCGGATCGCGAAGTCTGAACGCGCTCTAAGGCATGAACTTGGCTATGGAGGCAAGCGGATATGAGACCCGATCCCTGATTTGGCTGAGGGTACGACGTGAGCATGCATATCTGCCTCTAATAAACGATAGTCTTCGCCGTTAATAAATCTCTTTGTGGGATGCGGCTCACATTCTACTTCCGTTCAGAATCGTAGTGGCTTATTGAATGCGATGTGGCCTATACAGTTAACTGAGGCCAGCCGATGTACAAGTCAGTGTTCTTATCCTCCCAGACGAATCTGGTTATAATTCACCGTCCTCGAAGAGTCGCAGCCTTAATTGCCCTGGGCGGAAGTCCATATCTGTCTCTACTCGGTGGAATGATTACACTCTCGGTGTACTCGACTTCACAAAGTACGTTCAAAGCTAGGAGCTTGTATAATTCAACGATTCTGCAGTTGGCTCAGTTGCGTTGTCCACAATCTGTCCACTCCGCCTCCCCTCCCCCCCCCCCTTTAAAGATGTCGCGATTATCTGGTGGGTTCTTCCGTGCATGCAGCAATGTTCGTAGCGGCATGTGTGTTGTACCCTTCGTCACTTGTCTCCACAAAAACTAGACGCGTATCGCCACAAAGAATCAGAGATTGCGTAACGCCGCGTTCATACATTGCGATCGAGCGAATCAATCTTACGGTCACGCAGACGTTCAGGGAATCGCGCGACTGCAACCGTCCGCTCTCCGCAGCAGTTGCAGTGAGCAAGAAGAGTGTGATTGAATTAGAAGTTGCAGTGATGCAACAATTAGCACTGAGCGCAGTTGGTCGCACTCGCGCAATTCTCAAATCTTCAGACAGCGTCTTTTCAGTCTGAACGCTCCTATTGAATCGCGAATTATAAACGCGGTCAATGACGAATTGTAGCAATCGGTTTCCGGTCGCGAGCTTCGCGCGCTACATGCAATCGCCGTCAAGGGTGCGCGATCCGATCGCGAGTATGAACGCGCTGTCGGAGATGCAAAATATGGGTTTACGGACTGCTAAAACTCAATTCCTTTGATGGCGCCAACTTTCTGATTTTCTCTGCGCTCTCTTTCCTGAATGGCGATTTATGGCTTTTTTACCTTTCACATTCCAACTTTTCACGCATACTAAGTGGCTCATCCATCCCGGTGTCCCCTCCCCTCGAAAAACTCATCTCCTGGCTCGCATCAGGTTTTTTGTACCTCAAGATGCCTTAGCAGGCTATCGTGGCACAAGCAGGACCCCCTCCAAAAGTTTTAGTTGTCACGTAACCCAAAATATGATCGCGGTCAAAGCAAACCCTTTCGGATCTTTGAAAGGCCTCCGTAGTGAGGAGAATGGAGTGAACCAAGGAATCGCTTTGGTAACCAATTTTCCGGCTCAATATGTATACCCATATTACGGTACGGATCTAACCCTTCTGCGAATGGAAGAATGCAGAGTTTTGCTTTATACTTGTATCTACGAAGATAGAATATTTGAGGTCAAGATGTACTGATTTTTTCAGGAAAACGGATGTTCAATTCGAGCTGGCGAGTGCAACGGATTTTCAGTTGTTAGTGAAGTTGTAGTGAAGGAGGAACCTGCATCTCGTCGCGAGGAGGTAGGTCTTCGAATCTGGTCCGAGGATCACTTTCTGACACTGTTTATTCCTCAATGTGCCTTTTTCGAATTTCAAGCAATTCTTTCTGATCGTGTTTTTCCGCTGGTGGCTTGATTTCGATTCTTTCACCAGGGCAGTTTGATCCCATTAACACCGATAACATATTCGCTTCGCACCAAAGCGTCTGGGCCCCAGCACCCAAGCACTTTGAACCGCGTCAACATCCAAGCACCTCCAACCTCAAACTTGATGAAAACTTGTCCTTGGGGATACTTTGGCCCCGGAAGAGGAGTATCACGTTTTCTCACCGTAAAGCGCTTGGTTCATGAGCTACGAGTTCCTACGCTAGACCTCGCCTATAGGAGCTATAGGCGACTTTGGGTGGTTTCACTCCAAGCGAATGCAGTATTCTGTTCCGAAAGTCAGACTATGGGACGAAATCTCCACTAAATCGAATTAGAAAAAAAATCAGCATTGGAGGTTATCTCCCATAAACCTTGCGACCGATCGATTTCTAGGAGTGTGAACGCTCAAATTCCCTAATCTGAGCGTATCTTAGAGCGCGTTCAGACTTCGCGATCGCGCGATCCGGATCGCGCGATCGCTGTGATCGCGCGATATCGCGCTACTGTGGGTGAAATTACACCGGGAGGGGGTCATGTTCGTTCATGTTTATTGTTCCTGTTCTTTTTTTCCTTTTCCTTCTTTCTTCCTTTGTGTACATAACGCCCTCCTAATTTTAAGGAACGTTTCGAAATATCTTTGAGTTATTTATTATTTCCTATGTAAAATAGTACTAAATATACAATATGCTAATTATTATACTGAATTTTGCATCTGAGTACGTTCAAGCGGAGTATTGAACATCTTGTTCCAAAAGTAAGACACGCAGAACTTTCAACAGCGGGTGATGTTGTTTCTCTCCCTTCCCCCGATTTTGCCAGTCCTCCAGATATTCACTTTACTTTTGTCACATTGTGTTTGCTTTGTTTGTTCTGCCATCCTCCAGGTCTATACACAACCTTTCCTTTCGACGGTTTCTGCAAACGTCAGTATTGCGAATATGAACACGGAATAAAAGACATCAAAAAAGGTCGAACTACTTTTATATCGTTTTTGGAACTGCCTATTGGAGGCAGGATACAGCATCGTGATGTGAGAAATGGTGATATCAGTACGACTCCCCAGAACTTTGTTGTTGTTTGTTGAGTTGAGTTGAACATGAACGAACATGACCCCTCCCGGTGTAATTTCACCCACAGTAGCGCGATCGCGCGATCCAGGATCGCGCGATCGCGAAGTCTGAACGCGCTCTTATTAGTTAGATGATATTGCTTAGGTGGAAATGTTCTGCATGCTGGAAATATCGAAAAGGTTTGGAGTATCCTATTGAAAATCGTTGAACTTGGCATTACGGAAGTATTACGTAAAACCAATCTGAGGAAGAGTCAGTGCCATGGGATTTCAGGAATTGCTGAGATTCCCATCTACGGATGAGCCGCTTACTGCCGTGATAAAACATGAAGAGATTGATTCCATTTCAAAGAAGGTACCCTTACCTTCACGAGAAGATGACAAGAGAAGCGCAATTTACCGCGCCGTCGTGCGCAGTGCATGGACTGGTGAATGGGTGCGCAAAATTACATAAAACTGTGCGTCAATTCATCGATAGCGAAATTCGTGGGGGTCTTTGCATATTTTTTTCTTTTTTTTCGTTTTCCTCATAGTTGACGTGTTTTGGCCATTTCCTACACCGTCTGTTGCTGCCATGGCTGTCGATGCGGTGGTCAAAGTGCCATTTTCTGTCACTTCAATATTCGAAATGAAATGGCCAAGCAGAATTCTCTCGCGGCGCGGCGTCGGGCAAATTACGATTCTCTTGTCACATAGCCACTTTCAGGTAGTAGAAAATCAATCTGAGGATGGGTTCCTGCAGCAGCAAGATCGTAACGCCGATTTCGTCTTTTTCGGCGGCAACAATCTGCCTTCCACTCAAGCTTCAACAGTCGACATGATTTATGCCTGTGGTAATCCAGGATGGGAGATGTGGACAGCCAGTGTCTCCATGTGATATCCAATCACGGTATATTGCCTGCTACACTCTATATTATTGTGCACTGATAGAAAAGCAAAGTTTCATTCTTGTGATGTTGAGGGTTCTGCGTAGTGCTGGACATTTCTTTGGCCATGAAAGGTCAAGGGACAACGTCTTTACCCGATCGCGTTGGTCGGAGTTTTTTTTGTGATGCGGCACGAATTCTTCTTCCATTCACTGTTCTTTTCCTCCTAAAAAAATCTGATACCAATCTACCCTTCTCGGAGAAAAGGAGCTGGGGGCTTGGACAGAGGCCCGGGATAAAAGGCTAATGGAAGCAGAACATGAACATCCGAAAAATTTTCTTCCCCGGCAAAATATGATCTCACTTTTCTTCAGCGATCATACACGACCCCGCCCTCCCGTTGTGTCTTAGGTTAGGCATTGTTCACAGTCTGCGACCCTGACGAAACGGCGGTTGGGAGAAAAGCAAAAAATAGTCATCGATCGGAGAATCGCCAACCGCTAGTTTCGCCGAACCGCCGCGGTTGGGCGAAAAGCAATAGATGCGTATCGATTTCGCTGGCGAAAAACGCCACGGCGATCGAGCTAGCGTTTCGTCGAAGGCGAAAAACGTCGCGGTTTGGCGAAACGCCCGTCGATTCGTAAAACCCTTTCGCCCAACCGCCAGGCTCTTCGCCCAACCGCCAGTCGATATGTATCGAAAGCTTTTCGCCGAACCGCGCTGGACCGCAGACTGTGAACAGTGCCTTACGATGGTGATCCCTTTATCAGTATCGGGACGGGAATAATAACGCTCTCGAACCAGACATAATAGTAAAGATTGCTCGTTTCAACCATGTGCTAATCGAAACTATTGGATATGGGGCTTAGAGCCCAACGGTCACCAGCGACATAATTAAGACCATATTTTGAGTTACTCACGTACCAGAATGTCACTTTTTTCTTGCTGAGCTCAGCCATAGAGCATCAACTCCAACTTGTATATTCATACTAGAAAAAGCCGTTGTCTTCTAAATGAGAAAGATTTCGCCGTTCAAAGAATCGCCGCTGCCGAATCCCGCGCACATTGTTCAGTTCCCTAGGTTTGTCGTACATTTAATTGCTAGTTATACTGACACCAAGCAGATTGACTTGATCGCTTGGTGCGATCTAGCACCCTTCCTGCGCGCGCTTCAAGCTTAGGTACTGAAGAGAGTCCCTGTGATAGCCTGGGCCACGGTAGCAGCGATTAATTGACTGTGAAATCTCTCTTATATCGTCTAATGGAACTTAGTTTAGTTAACTTAGAAGTATTTTATTTCGTACGCTTCACATGGGCAGCCTTAACTAATCTTCCTATTATTCAACAATTGTCTTCAGTTCTATTTTTGTGCATCAGAAGCGTTTGTGAAGTTCTCCGTATGGCGTTTTTTTAATTGTCTAGTTAGTCACATAGCAATGCAGTAAATAATTTGTATTTAGTGTTTCTGCAAAATTAGCGTTCGTTTTGGAGTTGTGTACTTTAAGCTCCATGCCAGATAGTCGTGGCTCTCATTTAGGTACACCGTAGGTGAAGGGCAGAGCTGAAAAGTGTCTTACCTTGCATTCATCCTTTGAAAGAATCGACTATTTCGTAACGGAATGTAACATCAGTATAAAATACATTATTGCAGATCTCCCCCTGCCCCCCCCCCCACACTTTTCTCCGGGTTCATCACACCATTACAATTCTAATGAGGGACTGATACCCATGCTATAGAGAACACTGTATAAACACTCCAAAAAATGAAGTTAAAGGAAGATAGAACTCTCTGAGACCTAGTAACACGCCTGTTTGCATGAGGCAAGCCCCTACAATGTGAAGTTCAACGCCTTGGAATAAAACGTGAACTTTATTCTAAGGTTCATAAAAGTCTCGCAGGAGGTCACATCAGAAGAAAGTTTTAGTTGTTCAAAACAAAAGTATGCTTGTGATCTCCAAAAACCCCATCACGCTCTACAGAGTCTAGGCATTTAAGAAATCAATTTCTCCGAGCGCGGAGTACGCATAATAATGGGAAAGCGCGGAGATTTCATAGTACTTCATAATAGAAGGGAGAGAGTTGTCTCGAGGTCCCCTTTTGGATAAGGGTTCTTCTGACATCGACGTTTGCCCCATCGCTATGGTGTGTCCTGTATGAAAATCCCTCAAAGTCGTAATAACTTCGTATTCGATGATCTCAAGAGTAAACAATGTGTATATTGAAAAGAAAAAGGTGGAAAAATCGTGAGGTAATGCAGAGCTCATCTATCACTACCTTACTGGAACACTTTATGCTCGAATTCCAATAAATAGCCCTAAGAAGATCGAAGTGTATAATAATTAAACAAAGCAAGTTATATTAAGTATGAAACTGTGACTCGCTTTCTTTCACAAATGACCTTCTTTTTACATCAGTGATGGAAGTACGTACCGCATCCTATTGAAGAATGTCTGGAATACACAGGTTCAGGTACTTATAACATGAGAGGCAAAGAGTATTCCCTGCAGGGCTCAAAAATGGGAAGAGCCGATTAAGAAATATACCGCATAAAGCCTTGTTGCATGGGTTAAACTGCTCGTGTCGATCATTTCGCGGATGGAGTGCATTGCCAGCTGAGGACAGCCGACGTCGATTGTCTGTATACCCAGACGAGCTGCCAGTATGGGACCCACTGTCGATCCACAAGGGGAGTCGTTTCGAACGACTACTTTCTGAAGAAACGTCTCAGCTTTCAAGGTATGTGAGAGGGGTACTTACTAGGGCTCACCTGCAAAGGTACATTGGCTTCGGCAGCGATTTGCTTCAAGAACGCGTGAGTTGTAGATGTTGTGGCATAGCGCTGGTTCACGTTAACTTTCACAACAACGCCTTCGTGGAAGGAAGGACGATGGTTAGCCTGAATGCTGCGTTTATTTGAGAGCAGGTCTTGCTCACGCAGTTTAACCCTTCGGATATATTTAGTCTATGGGAACTTGCCTCATGTTGATCAGAATAGTTCGGGTGGGCAGCGTGCGCTTGATCGGCTGAGATCAAAATGCTACGTCCAATGGCCTCTTCAAATGAGCACGATTCTCCACCAGCAGCAAGACGTCTCAGCACGTATTCCGTGAATGAAGATTGTGCTCCCATTGCAGTTTGAGAACCAACCTTTGAGTAGTTTTCGCTCAAAACCGCGTTCGTTGGTAATTTCCATAACCACAAACTTTACCTCTTCATTGTCAAAAGCTGCAGCCATACGTATATTACCATCGTCCAGTAGAAGACGATCATCAGTCAGAGATTCCAGTAGGCCTTGCATAGCCGTATACGTTCCAACAAGGTTATCAAGACGTGCACCAGTAATGAACTCGTCATGAATTCCGGTGATCCTCTGAAAATTTTGAGATCGCTAATAGCTCAGAGCCGATTTCTATCGGTCGCATGTTAACTCAGCATTCTTTTGATAACACTTTGGCCTCAAAGGCAGCGCCCGCCATCGACTTTGGCAGGTTGTAGGGCTCAGAATTGTTAGAACATGTGGCAAGTAAAGCATTAATCAAAAAAGTCAACAAAAAGCGCCGCAAGAACATAGAATAAGACCCTGTTCGATCGGACGCATCTGGACGAGTTTCGCAGATGGGTGAGTTCTCCAAAACCCGTCGCCACCTCGTTGCGGCTAATTCTCATGAGGCCACTACCTAGGTTGTTTCAAAATTAATCTATCTAATAGAATCTAATCTAATCAGTCTAATCTCTCAATAATTAATCTCTCTATCAGTGTACGAAACGAACGCTAGGAATTTAGCGATTATCAATGCCAGCAGGACTTGATAATGGAAAACCAATAGAGGCGGGATTAACAGGACAGGCGGAGTCAGCTTATCATTGTTGACTCCGCCTTCGTCTATCAATCGATTTCGAGTCCCAGGAATGTGGATATCCTCTATAGTTGCAGACTCCGTGATCTTGTACAGTACAGGGTTTCTTCACCTTATGATCGCGGACGGTGCCTTTAAATCAATTAGGTCATGATAGCCTATGTCCGATACCGTTTGATTCCCTTAAAAATTTCGGCAAATGATAAATGTTTCTTTTCTATTTTCAGTAGAGAGGATCATTCGGACATATTTTTTTGAAGACAATCTGTACATTCATCTTCAGAGGCGGTCGTTTTCCATGTGCGAGCTGAGTGGGTTCGCAGCTGCGATAGCGTGTCACGCTCGCTGAAAGATGCACGGAAACAGGACGGGAGAGACGGGTACCTGGTGTCACAATCGACAGATACTCTCAGGACATCTGTCAGAAAACACCTCTGGACTCTCGCAGCGAGAGAGCACCCTGTTTACAGGTGCTTTATGGCCCCAAAATCCTGCAGCGCAACACGCACCGGGATATCGCTACCCTTCACTCGTTCCCGTGCAGCTTTGAGCGGAGAATGTGGCACGCTAGTGCAGCTGCGACCCATTCACCGCACATAAGGCAATGATCGGAGGTGAGTGTACAACTAGTCTTTAATCAAGGCAACGGCACTGTTCTGTTGGCGATCCCAAAAAATCAGAATAGAAGAAAGCAATACGTATTGTCGAATTTTTCCCGAGGTGAGGCCGTGAAATAGAGGCGAAGATGGTGCAGGGCACGCTTATCACGAGCGCGGTCCGGGGATCGCTTCCCCGGCTCCAACCCCGGCCAACCAAGCAAACAGCGACTTGTACATCCGCCAGCTCCCGCAAATAATAATGTAAA